TGGCCCGCTCCGAGTCAGCGAATACGCCGGGTTCTCACAAGGCAGCATCAAACGATGTCTCAGTACCATATGCCGCTCGCTCTCGATCATATTCGGCATGGCGCAACTATTATCAACAAGTAGTCGCCGTCCCGAGTCACGAATTCTCTTTCCGGCAAACAGCAGGCGAGGCAGTCACGGCGCGGCCCTCCATCATCAGCTTCCATAGTCCGTACTACATCAGCTACGAGAGCTGGGATGATACAAGCTGGTTCTATAATGAAGAGCTCACTGCTGAAGAACATCTCAACGATGTGATGGAGTCATACATGTCGCAGCCAGTTCATCCAAGTGCGAGGACAGCCTGGCATCTGCAACAAGCATTTGTTCTGAACTTTCTTCACTGGCATCCTGTCCTCGACGTCGATGTCTTTGTAGAACACTGCAAAGCCGCCCAGGCGTCAGATTACAATAATGACGATGCTTCGACGTGCCTGACAATGCTCGCTTTTGCTATTGCAGAAATGTCAGATGCGCAAAATTCCAGTCCTCCCTTGGATCCAAGCATTGATCAGTATCTGGGTCTTCATTACTTCCGGCGAGGGTGTCAAATTCTGGAACAAATCAAGCCTAAGACCAGGCGCAGCATCATTGTCATGCAATGTCGGTTCCTCCGCGCATGCTATTTTTTGCTATGTCCAAGACCAGTCCTAGCCTTCGACGCTGTGTCAGAGTTAGCGAGGGATCTCATGCATCTTTTAAGCTCTGGGTGGCTTGATCATATGCCCACCAAGCAAAAAGAAGGCTTTCATCGCGTTTTCTGGACGTGTAGCGTCTTGCTGCACGAGCTCGAGGCAGTCCTGAAGACGCATCCGATCGGCCTAAGGCAGTTTCACGAAGTTGTTCCACTGCCATTTACAGATGTGGAGGAAGAAGATGGCTTCTTCTACTTCTTTGCACAAGCGAGTCTACGGAAACTCCTCGCAGATGTGCTGGACGTCGTTGGGTACCGTGTTGGGCAAGTAATCTATGCTCCAGTTGTCGCCGCAGAGCTGAAAAAACAAGCCCTCGAGTGGTATGAGCACCTTCCGGTGCCGGTTCGCTTTCCCGTCAACGCATCTCCACTTTTCGACCTCCGCAAATCATTTTTGCGCTTTCAGTATCTGGCTATGCACACAGTCATCTACTGGCCATCTGTTTTGCAGTTCCTCGAGACGAAGGCGACTAGGGCACATGAGCATCTGCAAGTTGGCGAACATTTACGCAGCGTACAACAAGAAGCACAAGACTGCATTGATAACTGCGTCTTGTGCTGTGAAGCTGTTGAGGAGCTCCTTATGCAACGGCATTTGGGATTTAATTTTGCGATATGGGCGTACGCCTTCCCCGTCATCTAAACATGTGGTTCATTGATCACGAGCTAACATACCTCCTCATAGATCCTATGCGACAATGTGTATGTTGCTCATCACATACCGAGCTCCAGGTCTTGGGTTCATCCCGGCGACTCGAAACGAGACGCATATTCGGAAAGCCTTCAATTCCCTGCGGCCTTGGAGCCATCTTAGTGTCGTAGGCCGTGGACTGGAGCGAGTCGCTGCACAAATGCAAAAGGCTCATATAGATGTTGACAATGCATCGCCCGTAAAGGATCTGCCAATACTGCCTACATGATCTTCTCGTTGTAGAGCATAGTATCTGTGGATCATCATATGATATGAAAACTTCCACACAGGGGCAAGGAGCAATCCGATCGGACTACGCGTTCTCTGCCATGGCATGAGAACAAGACTTAAGTGCCAAAAACACAGAAGCGTCCCATGGAACAGATGCGATTGGTTAACTTCCCGACAGTCCCGAGTGCAAGATGGAGCCCTTGGACCGGTAGAGAATCTGAGTGGCCTGCGCTATCCACCCCACGAAGGCAGCAAACCAAATGGCTCTGAGAACACGCTCGGCGTTCGAGGCTGATAACTGGTTTTGTCTGCTTATGCAGTGTACTTCTCCTCCGATGAAGCAAGCGGGATTGTTTCAGCTTGGATAGCGCCTTTGCCTAAAAGTGCTCTATTTGCTCCAGATTGAGATCGCAGTAATGGAGAAGAGCATTGTGCTTTCCCCAGAGAATGCTGCGGTTGGTCTGTACATGTTTCATGAAATGTAATTTATCTCCGGCAAGTGTTTATCACAGTTTCGTTGTATGCTATTGTTTGGACGGTATCAAATGAAATGGGTTGAACCATCACAATCCAAATATTGGTAGATGCGAGATAGAATTCCGTTCTCCCTTTAGAAGAATAACTTTTAAGCCACGACAATACATTATGCGCTTCCTCATATCCACTTTCATATAAGTTTTTGACAGCTCGTGGGTTTAACCCGCTCATTATGTAAGCAGCCTGATCGTCTGGCATGTCATCAACTCATGGACGAAAACGCCACTGGAAGTCTTACTGAAATTGTGGCGACTGTGAAGCTTTGAGGCTTTTGCTTCAGATAACTTCATAACTATCGCCTCTTGACACCGTTTCGATATGAGAGGGGTCGCTAGATCGAGATGCCCAGAGAGTTGAGCCGTAGGGGTTGTGCTACCTGCAAAAGTCGGAAGATCAAGGTGAGAGCCTATGAGAGTACTCCCCGTAATGCATTTACTTTATAAGCTTGCATTATCCTCGCTGCGGCCATTAACTTCTCGGCGTAGTGCGATGAGCAACTTCCGGAATGCGGACAGTGTACTCGCGCGAAAAGAAAATGTCCAGGTGCCATTACGGACCTCATCTTTATCAATGCAGCAGCACTTCCCCAAGTACAGCCCGACGGAGCATCATACGGAAAATCCTACGGAGGAAGACAGATCGCCGGCCCGTATGACACTTCTTCGGCATTTTTACCTCCTCGTGCCTCATTGAGCGACGTGATAAACAACCGGAGGGGTATGCCGAGCGTACAAATTGACCTGGCGAAGAGTAACCAAGCGCAGCTCCTCTCCCTATTTATTGAAGACTTCTCGAACCTCCATGTGGATCCATCACAGCCCACGCCTTGGTTGCTCGAGCTGCCCCATCAGTCATGTCCTCCCGAACTCGAACCATTGGTGAGGACTGCTGCATCTAGTGCGACGCTGGCCTTCTTTGGCATGATCACCGCAGACAATGCTATCCAAGAAGAAGCACGGCGATGTTATGGACGCGGACTCTCGTATCAAGGCCGGCAACTTCTTCGTTTGCAAAGCAAAGCCAAGCACTGGAATGAGCAACGTCGACTTGAATACATCAGGGTTCTGATTTCGGCGGCGATGCTGCTCTGCTCGTACGAATTGGTACTACCGTCTGATACAAACTCATGGTTTCTTCACATCGCTGGAGCGGCCAGCTTGCTTAATGGCCTTGGGCCCGAAGCTTGCCAAGAAGGCTTTATACACCAGATATTCCAGATTGTGCGCTTTGGGGTGGTACGTATAATCATCTCTAAATCTGGATTCTGATCGAATAACATATACTAGGCCTTAACATGTTTCGTGGCTCCAAAGCCGACATTTCTAAGCTCTGGAGATTGGGTTGATATACCATTCGAGAAATCACGAAAGACATCTTTCGACAAACTAATGGGCATCTTGATTGAAGTGCCATGGGCGGAAATAGAACCGAGTACTGCCCGAGGAGATGATTCAGCCACCCTTGAAGAGCGAATTTCAATTGTTCAATCTGGGATCACTGCGCTCGACGAATGGTGGTGTCAACACCGCAGCCAATACGATATGGAATATTGCCCGCCGCGCGATTTTATGGACTATGGGTCTTCCTACAAAGAAGTGTACCGGATCGGAGCTGTGATAGTCACGCTCTACAACGGTGCGCTCGTGAAGCTCATTGGAATTCTCGGTTTCATTTCGCCCGAGAATTCTGATCCTTTGAAGGAGAAGCACTGGCAGCATTCCGAGCGGGTCTTATCATGTGCTTCTTTCATTGCCGACCAACCCAATCATCATGCGAAACTCCAAGTTTCGCTTCCAACGACAGTCGTTGCATACTGTGGTGCTACTCCGGCCCAGCGAGCACGAGCACGGCACATCCTCGAGCGAGTTGCGGATGATGGCAAGAAGGGTGATCCTCAGACAGTGGAAAGAGCCGCACAGCTTGTTCAAAGATTAGGGCGAGATGGGACGGCTAAGGAGGCATTTTAGCGATGCAATGAGCATACAGGATAAGAGAACTGTGAAACCAAACAGCACTATCAAACCACAATGCGATCCCAGCGGCGCCAGTGCGACGGCCAAATTCAGGCCAATACATGCAATCGGTGCCTCCGAAATGTTGGAAGCTCAATCTCATGTGCTAACTGTGAGACAAGCATGGTGCCCGCGTCAACCTCGCTCCCCTCTAGGGGCTCTACAAAGCTCGAGCCTCGACAGAAGCTCCCACCCGAGGTATATAACGAGAAAATTGTCCAGTGACCGAGCGATATTAAGCATCAGGCGCTCACACATCGCAAAATCAAACGAATGCGCGATAGGGTCCTGCTTTGACCGTACAGCTGGTCTCGACAGCGCTTCTTCGTAGCCGGCCTACTGTTATTTACATCGTACGTTCCCTGTGGAAGAGGATTCGTGTCGCAGTACACACGTGTTATGACTCCCGTAGACCAATAATTGAAGATGGTTCACCGAAGATGCATATGAATAATTGGCCCGGCCTCGTGAAGGACATACCTCACAGAATAAATGTGCCGCTCTCTAGTCATGCGCTTATCTGAATGAGTCTTCTCTGCTCAGTACATATGTCGTTGTTTAACGTGTTCGGTTGTCACCGAAGAACCATCTCCGCGCGAACTATGCGTGCTGTTCGAAGTGGGTGCCTTGGGTTGAAGAGGCTTCGTCGACCCTCGTACGTCCCGCTTTTCCACCGTACAAGCTGCGCCGAAGAAGCGTTTCCGACATTTAGCTTGCCTTCGGAGTCTAGAATTTCAATTCATCAAAAAATAAACCCCAAAAAATAAATACTGAGTCGAGAAGGCCAAAAAGATATTTCCGTTACCGGGAGTCGAACCCGGCTCTGCCCGGCACGAGCTTTCTGAATGAAACTGATTGGACGTTAGTCAATTGTTGGAGTAAAAGACGGGAGAGGTAAACTGACGCGGGCGATGCTAGCCGATACACCATAACGGAGTAAAATTTCTGAGATTTGAAATTGTGTACTATATATATAGTATTTCAATCTAAAAAAAGTTGTGTTTCTATGGATTCTATCACTGCTTCAAGATTCGCCCCTTGTATTTTCTCCCCTGCAGACTTTATTTAGATGATTCTTTACAAATGTTAAGCTTTCAGGGGCACTGATCGATCTACATTTAGATCACATCCAATAACTCCGTCCGGTCTGTTCTACTCCCAACCGAATTTACCGTCCACGTTAACTAACCGCTCTATTTGAATTCAGAACACATCACCGGTTCGATAATGCACAGTACGGATGATTACCCTTTCTCCAGATGACAAAAGCAAACTACTATTCAAGTTTAAGTTGAAATTGTCGAAGAGGAGCAGACGCCATAACACAACTTGGTAGCTAATTCACCCAGTGAGTGCTTATGAATCCGTATCAATTTACACACACAGAACATAAATTGTTCGTGGCTCATAATGAAGACTGTCCGGCTGAGATAAAGGCTTCTTGCACTGATTTTAATGCGTCACGCCGTTTTTCGTATCGCATTATTCGAATGAACTGCTCGATTCAACCATCCAGTCATTCCCGGGCCAATCCATATTCTTACGAACCACCTTCCTCACCATCAGCCTCCTCTATCGTCTGAGTTCCTGCAATGCTACCCTCTTCCTCAAAGGTATCATTAGGCACCTGGTACAGGCGCAGCACGCTCTTGTTGGGATCCTTGATGAGCACGTACTTGCCCTCTGACATCTTGAGACACATGTCGACAATCGTCCTCACAATACCCCAGCCATTCGCAAGGTTCAGATTCATCTGAGCCGCGAAATCACGAGGCTTGTAGGGCAGCACGCCGAGAATGACGTGGTCGTTCGGCGTTCGGGGGTTTGCGCGGGAGACAAATCTATGCTCATGTCAGAAAAGTGCACCCACAGCGATTCGGAAAATAGACTTACCCAAGCCTCATGACATCTGCGTTGGCAAGCACCGACTGTACAGTCCATCTGGCAAGCTTGCAGCTGTTATTCTTCATCTCAGTAGCAACGACAGCACCGCGTCTGCTGGAGAGGTTGGACCGCCAGTCAAGAGCACCGCCGCTTCCTGGCGCCTTGCTATCAAATTCGTTCAGGGCCTTGATGACGAGATATTGGTCGTCTCCGCTGATGTTATTCTTCATTATCGCATCGAGCTCTGTTCGGACGATCAGGTGCAGCGGCTCCTCATCGCGCTCCAGAGAGAGATCGAATCGGCGGTACTTGTACGCTTTCGAAGCTGGAGGGTCGGTCTCAACATTCGGATTGTAGAATGGATGCTCGTTTGCCATGTCTTTTCTTTGAGTGTCGGACTCAATAACAACTTGGATGGGGAAGACGTTGTTGATATGCGTCGCCTCCATCATTAGCGCACTAGGGCTGTTGATGGTGTCCTTGTTGCCCTCAGAAGCCTCAAGAGGCGCGTCAGCCGCGTTCTCATTCACAGTGACCATGTCCAGGTTTGAACCTTCTCTCTTGTCAATGAAGATCTTGTTGCCCTGATGAGTGATGACAAGGTCCCAGGAATGGACGGAGCGAGGGGCACACATGAGCATGCTGAGAATATTGTCGGTAGCAAAAACGGTTGCTTCGTCCTTATCTGCGAGATCTTGGATGATAGGGTCGCTTGAGGTTGTGACATTGTACGCAGCTCGTTCAAGAACGTTGAGTTTCCTCTCTGAGGTCTTCGCTCCCGGGTTCCGGTCGTAGGCCTTATCGTAGTAGTAGAGAAAGCCATAGCTATCAATCTCCTCGCCCTCATTTGTCTCCAGATTGAGCTTCGCCAGTCTGACAAAGTCAATTTCTTCCAGAAGCGTCCAGTCTGGCTTGACGTTGACCGAGGCATCCCGATTGCGCTGTGGCTTGTCGTCTCTCCATCCATAACGGCCTCCGCGCCTGCCACCTCGGCCGCCGCGCGAATCGTATCCCTGTTGCCCACCTCTTCCTCCAACACGCTGGAATGTACCTCGTCCTCCACGTTGTGTTTGGCCACCACGTTGTCCCCGACCTCGGAAGATAGTCCCACCTCCTCGACCGAAGCCTCGAGTTCTTGCTGATGTGCGGGTGTTGTCGACAACTGAGAAAGTAGCTTCTTCTTCCGCTGCTTGGATCGCAAATGGATTCTGTTGATTCGCGCCGTACGTTTGCTGGTCTTCTAGAAGTTAGTAATGACGTGGAATCGATTACACTTAGTTCGCAGAGTCGCACCTCTGTAGTTTCTGCCGCCATACTGCTGTCTTCCTCCCCGGTCTCTGTCCTTCCCTTCTGTCCAGTCGGCCATGCGTCCAAGTTTGTCCGATTTTGAGTATGGCGCATATGGCACGCCATTTATCATCGTGTCTTTCGTTTCGGAGGGGCCCCATTTATCTGTTGTTTCGGGCATTGCCCCAACAACATCAACAAGTGAAATCGGCGCCATGTTGGTGATGATAATTTGAGTTGACGCAGGAAGAAGCGCAAGTTCACGATGTTTAAAAGTGTGGAATTCTTGTGGGAGCGGAAATCTTGGCGCTCGCCCCGCGCTAAAAATACACATCACGTGACGTTAGCAACGACGATGGATGTGTTCAGAGAGTAATCGTGATAATGGTTGGTGGGAATTTGTTACTCTGGTTTGAGTGCTACATACTCACTGAGGAACTAGCTTAAAGACTAATAGGCTTCCATAGTCAAAGTGAACCTAAAATCAAGCGAAAGCTTCCTGCGCCCTTGCATCGAGTCATGACACGATCGTATCTGTGACTGCCTTGATAGAGTCCTCCAAGCTTGTCCATCCTGGTTGTCCAAAACGCTTCACGAGCTCCTCGGCGCGCTCGTTCGCCACCTTACTGAGGTCATGCCCAATGTCAGAATAGTCTTCGTGAAATTTCCTGTCCGGATACAGTTTCCTGAGTACGGCAAGCATATCATTCCAATTGTACGGGTGGGCGAATGAGTACAATCTTTCTCCTTTCACATCAGAATAAATGAGACCCGCTATATGTACTCGAGCATTGTCCTGGACATTGATATAGTATTGCGGAGGACTGCAGAAATCAATTAGTCCGGCGGTTGAATTTTGCATGCTCGCGCAAGAGTATATGAGACTCACTTGTACTCGAGATCTTCGTGGCCTTTAAAGCCGTCCCAGAGTGCTCTAACCCAGCCAGAGGTGCTCGGATAGCCTTGGTCCTTGACGGAGAGGATATGCCCAATATTCATATTCGGCAGTACACAATTTAGAACAAAGCCCGGATTCTTCTCCTTCATGAACTTCCATGCAGCCTGTTCAGCTTGTGTTTTGCTGGCCGAGTAGACGTCGAGCCGGCGCTGAAGGCCTTCGTATGGTGGTGGAGCCCATGCTGCTTTGACGGCGTCCTCGTTCCACGTATTCTCGTCCATGGTGAATACCTTGTTCGGTTGTGGACTGGCAGCTGCGGTGGAGGACGAAGTCATGACCACTCGCTTAACAGAGGGCTCGCTGGCGGCAGCTTCCAGTGCGTGAAGAATACCATTGACGACGATTGGGACGCCTTCGTTCGGGTCAAATGATACCATCACTGGTGTTGCAACATGGCAGAAGCCGGATGCTCCCTTCACAACCTCATTGAAGGCACCCTTCGCTGCCATGTCCTTTACCTCAGCGAGCTCAAACTTCCCCTTGCCGTATTTCTCGTCGAGAAGAGGCTGCATCCACTCTGCATGCTTCATGTTGCGAACAGTCCCTCTTACACGGTAACCAGTAAGAAGAAGTTGGTCAACAACATTGCTGCCAATATATCCGTTGGCACCTGTAACAACTACCAGGGAGCCCTTTGGAATTGCAAGATCGGTGCCGCTCACCGCCATGGCAAGGCCGCAGCGTCAGTGAAGGAAGTCGAATCAAAAGAAGCTGAGAATTGGAAAATGAACAAGACAAGCTGAGAGCGGGACTAAATGAGAAGCTCAATTCAGAAACGCAGATTGATATAGATCGAATGGAAGAACCCAGTAAGGTAGATGTCTACCCTAAGCGAATATGGGCAAACATCCTTTCACTTTATAGTAACAACGCTCATGATGCTGGAGAAGAAGCTTCAGCTCGCGATTAATCCACGATATTGTCCGATTGGATAGCTTCTTCGCTGTTGTTGGTGGCACGAATCAGTGATTCGTGGGGAATCGACCTGGGGCATCAATCGCATCTCGGCGCTAAGCATTGCCAAGGATGACTTATCAATGTACACAGCGAATGAACTGTTAGATAATCTGACGACTGCAGGCAGACCCTGATCGTTGCATCGGTACCTAAGCATGTCACTAAGGACGTCGGCGGATTACAAGTAGGGCTGCTCCAAAGAAGCGAGAAGCATGGGATAACATTTGAAGCACCTAAGCCATAAGAAGGAAGAACGAGAGATGAGCTGCAGAGGAGCTGAAGAGAAAGTGTAAGCAGCCCACCAGTTCTCCCCTCCTTTGCCAAGGTACTAGTGCGCATGGGCATGCTCGTATATTTCCCATATCGCTCAAAAGCGGTTGGTACTAATATGCTTCTTTCAACTATCCCATCGGATACGGGGCGAAAACGTTGCCTACAGCTATCGGAGGATATGTATGTCCTCTGGTCACAGCCAATGCAGTCTCGTCCGATCAGCGCGGAGCGCACGGCGGATTGTGGCAGCAATCCCTTAATGAGGATAAGGTTGAAGTTGTAAACGTCGTCTATCCGTGAATGGTTCCCAAGTCTGTGATTCGTTCAATCTTGCCGTCGATTAGGAGAATGTCTGCGTCGCATACGCCTTGTAGGAAGGAGTTTAGATCAATACAAATTTCTCCTCAATTTCACGAAGTGAGGTCTTTGCCTGAGGTGCTTATGTCGCGTCGGGACGTCAGGACGTCGGGTAAATGAAGTGCACGTGCTAGCGCGTCACGCGTCGGGTGAAAGCCCCAGCCCTAAGACACGTCAATCAGATCGCTTTCCCGAGGTCATTCCCTTCTGCTTTACAGAA